CTGAGTTTACTCCACCTCGGGCTGCTTAGAACTGCACCAGCGAGGACCACTTGTCCCTTGCCCTGTCCTCCCAGTCCCTAGCCCTGGCACTCTACCCTACCCGCGCGCCTAATCCAGAGCCGAGGCCCAAATGAGAAACACCGGAGAGGAGCCTTAACCACTGCCCCAAATACGGAAAATTCGTCTCCCCACTCCGCCCAGAAAGGTCTCCTTTGTAATATACTTCAACGACATAGAGATAAAACCAAGAAAGAAAATACACTGAAAGGTTGGCGACAGAAAGCCAACTCCCCCGGAATCGAAATGGCTTGAGGAATCCAGCGCAAAGTTCTGCGGCCAGAGCGTCACCAAGGAGCCTTGGACCCCTCTCACAGCCCCACAGCATTTAGGACACTCCTTCCCCTTTCGGCGCGTTCAGCCCGAGGCCTTGAAAAGCCCTCGCTAAAATTGGCGACCGCTAGAATAGGTTTAAACGCAGGAGAGCCACCTCTAGTTTATTGGATGGCCCAAGAGAGGAAGTAATCCGAGATGCTCGTGGAGGGGTCTGACGTCCTGACATCGCCGCCCTGGCAGTCGTTCGCATCTCCTAGAAACTGGAGTCGGCTAGGGTTGGCACCAGCTGTCAAGAGCCCTTCACCAGAGTATCTTCTCTTCCGGTTTCGAAGGTGGTCGATAGGAGATGGAACAAAGGAGAGTGCAAAAATAAGAGTTATGTATACATATATATATTCATGGACAAAAACCGTAATTTAGGTTAACAAGGAAAAAAATTACCGGACAGGTAGATAAAAACTGATATGCTAAATGGAAGATCAAAGATTTAGAAGAGATCTAGAGTAATTGCTTACCACTTCCTTGGCCCCCAGAGAGTGGAGAGAAGTCATTGACTATTTTTTAAAAAAATGGTTTTCAATAGTGAATCGCCAGACCACCCCTTTCTGAATTTCTTGGTGTTCTATTCTAAGCCAACAGCAATTTTCTGAATAAAATTTCTACCGAGGTGGGAGGAAGACAGGAGAGCCTGGCAGAAAGCACAGGACCAAATCCTTCACCACACAGTTATCAAGCTGTGACCAGTATACTGTTGCCAGACACCAAAGAAATAGTTCCTCACCAAGAGTTTAATTCTAGACTTGCTACAGACACCTGTTACCTTCTGAGGCTCTGGCCAAAAAGTCAGCCTCCCACTGAAGCCTTGGGGTTAGTGGATCTGCCCTGACACCCAGGCTTGCTATTTGTGTTGTCAACAAGTGGGAAGCAAACATTTGATATCTCAGAGGGGCTAGAAACACTTCTTTAAAATGGTTCTGAAAACTGAGACTGGACCATCTTACCTCTCTACTACTCAGAAAGAAAACTAAAACAACTCTGAAACTAAAGGAAAGTTCTCAAAAAAGTTTGTGTGGAGAGCATTTGGAGAAATGGCTTTATTCTCACTCTTTTCTAAGCTTAGTGGGGTCACCCGGCAAGCTCTAGCCTTAAAATACCCAGAATTTTAAAAATTGTACCTGTCCTACCACCACCACCCCAACATTTACAAAATAAGCAGTCTGAAACCCTTGTTTCCACATTGAAAATATTACCAGCATCAAGCATCCAGTCAATAGTCTTACTTTCCTTTTTCTTAAATATATACATGTATGTAATTTTGTGGTGGAGATTGAGGGTATTTTTCTGATGTTCCCTGAGGCTTCTCAAAATCTAACCAGGTGACAATAAGGCCTCCTCTCAAATTTCTTGGCTGTTATAAAAAATTGCACATATCCTGTAATACACTTGACCAACCAAGTAGTTTCAAGAGGTCCCCTTCTTGGGCTCTAATTCTTTCATTTTCCCATAGCGTACCTGATGGGTGCCAGGCATTGTGCTGAGCACTAGAAGGGGGAAGGGAGGGGAGGAACGAAATGACAAAAAGCTATCCCAGCCCTCAAACAGTTGGCAATCTGTCTAGTGTCCCTTTCTCCCCTCCCCCCCACCCCCCGCCCCCCACACACATGCACATTCACCTTAACTAGGCCTAAGGGGATCTTTCCACCCATCACGCATTCTTAGTACAGGAAAATTTTCCAAGAAGTCGAATAAGAATAAAATGTTTCTGAGATATCACTGTGATTCAGTCAACTACAGGAAAACAATGGTTAAATAACAGGCATGAATAGCCAAGAAAGATTAGGGAGATTTGCAAACCAAAGCAAGTCATGCACACCCATTAGCCCAATATATACAATACTCATCCGGATCTTTCCTTTGATTTCTCCTTTAGAGACTAACACTGAACCAGTCTCCCTTTTCATAAGAGGGGTAGGGGAGTTGAGCTCACCTGATCTCAGCCCTCTAGGGGCTCAGCCAGAAGCCTCACAGGAAGGAGGGTTTCCAGGATCAAGTCCCTAATTAGTTACACAAAGAGAAAACCATGAACAGTTTATGCACTTGGTGGTATTTACTCCTTTATTTTAACAAACTGCCTTTTAGGAAAAGAGTTGTCATATGTGCAAATCAATCATTTCCAGGGGATTAAAATATGGGGGGACAGTTTAACCTAAAGGCTACCTGCTACTTTAACCCATTGTTTGGTTTCATACAAGAGCCACATGCTCTATGCTGTAAGTAAAAGAAAATAGAAACAGTAAGGAAACAATGATGCAGCTTCTCACCAACATATTATGATCCACTAGGCAGAAAATATATTTTATACTTTTGTGTATGTATGTATGAATAGATAAACATAGATAAAAGTTTAAATAGAGTAATTTTGTTTTCTGAGTTCCTTTGTGTCAGTGTATTTTCCACCAAAGATATCTTCTTCAAATGTTCACTGTGCAAGTAGACCCTAAGTCCATTGAGGTGGATTCCCATTTCCAGGGCCTCCACAGGTATTGGTTGGACCAGATAGGAGTGTCTCTAATGATGAAACCAGCCAGATTAACCAATCTCAGGACATGGCCCCTTTCAAAGAAGTCAGGTGACTGTACCCACTGGAGTTGACCTACCTGGATAATGATGTTGCTCTGGTGGTGGCCGCCGACCTGGGCAAAGAGATGGGCCTGCTCATGCCTTGGTGGGAAGTTTCCCTCAGGCATGGGCCTGTCCACGTTTTTGCCTAGGGGACCCAGCCACTACTACTACCACCACCCAGTCCTGGCCTCTCCTAGGGCCTGGGAACACTTACAGCAGAGACACCACTGGTGGGCTCCGACCAGTTGTCCTGGCAAAGGAACTTACCGTTTGAGTTTGCCCCAGTGTGGGCCACACACACTTTGTTTCTTATCGGGGCAGATACCCTGGCTCTGAGAAGCACTCTCCCATTGTGACCACGGCTGGCCTGGGGCTGAGGCTCGGCGCTGACCCGGTCGTAACTGCCAAGGGCCTGACAATGGGCACATCTGTCCTTTCTCTGAGGGATGAAAGCACCTAAGCGGACACGGCTCTGCCTTTTGTTACAGATTTTTTTCTTTCTTTTGTAAATGAAAGAAAGCCGCGGCATGTGGCGGCCGGGTGTACGTCCACATTGGGGGCCTCTCCACGCGATCCCACCAGGCCCAAGGACCAGGTTCGATTCTGGATTGGAGCGTGATTGTGAGAAGCGGACGATTACGCTCGAAGCTGAATTGAGTTTCAAATCTGGAGGCATCTCGCGGGGACGCCGGGAAGAGGGCGTCCCTACGGGCTAAGCGGAGACCAGTGCGCCTGGTCCACCCTGCCGGCGTCAGTCCTTCCCGCAAGCAGTGGCTTCTGGGTGCCTTACCAGGAGGGCCAGGGAGAAACCGCAGGAACGGCTCGAGCCTCGGCAGCCCCACTAGCACCCAGAAGTTAACAAGGGAACCCACGAGGGCACTCCCTGCTCCAAACACACACACGCGCGCGCGCACACACACACACACGCACACACACACACACACACACACACGCGGAATCATTGGCGAAGCCGGAGCATCGCCCTAATTGTCAGCTGAGCCAGAGAAGGACCTAGGCGGCGGGGGACAGTGAGGTATGGCCCGGGCTAAGACTCTTGTCACTGAGCGCTCCTCTCTCCAGAGCATGTTAGGGGAGGGGTGCGCAGATTATCGGGGAGAAACGAAGTTGCTGGGTCAACAACGAACAAGCTGACCAAGGCCTTTAAGACATTTGTCCCCTCCCCCCCACAAAAAGGCCAAGCACCTGATGGGGAGAATGCGGACTCCCAGAAGCCCTCCGGGAAATGAAGCTTAGTGGGCCAGGGTGGAAGGAATGATGACACAGTCCTCAGCTACCCGGGCAACATGCTCCGGGAGGCAGCAAATGGAGAGAGGGGCAACAGCTCCACAGGCATAGCGCAACACCCAGGATGGGAGCCGGGCAAGTGCGGCCCGGGGCTGGGAGGAGAGCCCACACTAGTCAGGGAGCCGAGAGGGGCGCAAGTAGCCGTGGGTGGCGGTGGCGGCCCCAGATCGCTCTCTACGCTGGGCCTTCCCACGTGCGCGCCGCAAACCCCGCCACCCGGCGCCGCGGGTGAGGCGCGGGGCCCCCTCCCACATTTGTACCG